CTGGTCCTTCGAGCCTGCTCCAGCATTCAATAAGATCATGACTGATCTTTTCATGGCCTCAGTTCCACCTACCCACCCTCTCACCATAATCCCTAATTCCTTTACTGTTCAAAAACTTATCTTAGTTTTAAAAACATTCAATGAGGAAGCCTCAACTACTTCACTGGGAAGGGAATTCCATTGATTCAACTTTTTGGGTGAATAAGTTTCTCCTCAATTCAGTCCTAAATCTGCTCTCCCTAATTTTGAAGCTATGCCCCCTTGTTCTAGTTTCACCCGCCAGTGGAAACAACCTCCCTGCTTCTATCTTATCTATTCCCTACATAATTTTATATGTTTCTATAAGATCCCCCTCATTCTTCTAAATTCCAATGAATATAATCCTAGTCTATACAGCCTCTCCTCATAAGTCAACTCTCCTAATTCTGGAATCAACCCAGTGAATCTCCTCTGCACCCCCTCCAGTGCCAGTACATCCTTTCTCAAGTAAGGAGACTAAAACAGCACGCAGTGCTCCAGGTGTGGCCTCAACCAGCCCCCTATACAGCTGCAACATAACCTCCCTGCTTTTAAACTCAATCCCTTTAGCAATGAAGGGCAATATTCCATTTGCCTTCTTAATTACCTGTTGTACCTGCAAACCAACCTTCTGTGATTCATGCACCAGGACACCCAGGTCCCTCTTCACAGCAGCATGCTCAATTTTTTACCATTCAAACAATCGTCCTTTTCACTGTTATTTCTACCAAAATCGATGACTTCACATTTATTAACATTGAATTCTGCCAGACCCTTGCCCACTCACTTAAACCATCTGTATCCCTCTGCAAACTTTCAGAGACCCCTGCGCACTTGGCTCTACCAGTCATCTTAGTGTCATCCACAAACTTTGACACACTTCACATCGTCCCCAAGTCCAAATCATCCATGTAAATTATCAACAATTGTGGTCCCAATACTTATCCCAGAGGCACACCACTAGTCACTGATTGCCAACCAGAAAAACACTCATTTATCCCCAATCTTTGCTTCCTGTTAGTTAATCAATCCTTTATCCATGCCAATATACTGCCTGTAACACCATGCATGTTTATCTTATGCAGCAGCCTTTTGTGCAGCACCCTGTCGAATGCTTTTTGGAAATCCAGATACACCACATCTACTGGGTCCACCGTGCTAGTGATGTCTTCATAGAATTCCAGCAAATTAGTCAAGCATGATCTGCCTTTCATAAACTCATGTTGCGTCCGCCCAATGGAGCGACTTCTATCTCGATGTCTTGCTATTTCTTCTTTCATGATAGATTCAAACATTTTCCCCACTACAGAAGTTAAGCTAACTAGCCTATAATTCTCCATCTTTTGTCTACTTCCTTTTCTGAACAATGACGTCACATTGGCTGTTTTCCAATCCGCTGGAACCGCCCCAGAGTTCAGAAAATTACAAGTGCATTTGCTATTAGTTCCGCCATCTCTTTTACTACCTTGGGATGCATTCCATTAGGGCCAGGAGACTTGTCTACCTTTAGCTCTATTAGCTTGCCTAACACTACCTCTTTCACGATAATGATCGTGTGTAGATCCTCACCCACTTTAGTCCTTTCATCAATTACTGGCAAGTTATTCGTCTCCTCCACTGTGAAGGCTGACACAAAATACTTGTTCAATGCCTCAGCTATTTCCTCATTTCCCGTTATTAAATCCCCCTTCCCTTCCTCTAAAGGACCTATGTTTACATTAGCCACTCTTTTTCGTTTTATATATTTGTAGAAACTTCTGCTATGCTTTTATATTCTGAGCTACTTTAGTCTCATTATCTATCTTACCTTACTTTACAGCCTTTTTTGTAGCTTTCTATTGACCTTTTAACTTTTCCCAATCTTCTAGTTTCCCACTAGTCTTTGCCACTTTGTCTGCCTTATCTTTCAATTTGATAGCCTCCCTTATTTCCTTAGGCATCCATGGCTGATTACCCGTTTTCCTACAGTCCTTCTGTTTCATTGGTAAATACTGCTGCTGAGCACTTTGAAAAATTGCTTTGAAAGTCCTCCACTGTTCCTCAACTGTCCCACCAGAGTCTTTGCTTCCAGTCTACTTTAGCCAACTCCTCCCTTATCCTGTTGTAGTCTCCTTTGTTTAAATAGAGGACCCTGGTATTGTATTTTATCTTCTCACTTTCCATCTGTATTCTAAGTTCAACCATGCTGTGTTTTTTCCTTCCAAGAGGATCCCTAACTATGAGATCATTAATTATCCCTGTCTCATTACACAGGATCAGATCTAGGATAGCTTCCTCCCTCATCGGTTCCATTATATACTGTTGAAGAAAGCTATCGTGGATACATTCAATGAACGCCTCCTCAAGGCTGTCTTGACCAACCTGGTTTGACCAATCGACATGTAGATTAAAATCCCCCATGATAATTGCCGTACCATTTTTACAGCCATTAGTTATTTCTTTGTTTATTGCTCATCCCAATGTGATGTTATTGCTTGGTGGCTTATAGACTATGCCTATCAGTGACTTCTTTTTCTTAGAATTTCTATTTCCACACAAATGGATTCAACCCTATTCTCCATAAGTGGACTGGCTAAATCAGGTTGGCAGTGGGTCTCAAGAAAAGGACTTTGTGCAATATCTACGATATGTGATTGGGAGTAGCTTGTGAGTCCACTGGGGAAGAGGCAATTCTGGACTTGGTGACGCGTAATTATGCGGACTTGGTTACGGAGCTTAAGGAAAAGGAATCCCTCTGGAGCAGTGACCATAATATGATATAATTCACCATACAATTTGAGAGGGAGAAGTTTGAATCAGATGTAATGATATTCCAATTGAGTAAAGGTAACAACAGAGACACAAGGGAGGAGCTGGCCAGAGTTGATTGGAAGGGGAGGCTAGCAGGGAAGATGATAGAGCAGCAGTGTCGGGGTTTCTGGGGGTAATTCAGAAGGCATAGAAGAAATTCAGCCTAAGAAACAAGAAACAAACTAAGGGGAAGATGGGGAACCTGACAAGAGAAGTCAAGGACAGTATAAAAGTAAAAGAAAAAAACACAATGTGGTGAAGATTAGTGGGCGGCCAGAGGATTAGGAAGCAGAGGATAACTATAAAAGCAATAAGGGAGGAGAAAATTAAATTTGCGAGTCAACTAGCTAGTAGATTCCAAGAGCTTTTTACATAACTAAAAGTTAAGAGGCAACAGTGGACACTGAACCACTGGAAATGAGGCTGGAGAAGTAGTAATGGGCAACAAAGAAACTGTGGATTAACTTTGCATCAGTTTTCACAGTGGAAGACAGCAGGAGCATGCCAGGACTTCAAGACAGTCAGAGGGCAGAGGTGAGTGTAGGGGCCATCACTAAAGAGAGGGAAACTGAAAGATCAGAAGGTGCATAAATCATCCAGACTGGATGGACTATACCCCAGAGTTCTGAAGGGAATAACTGAGGAGATTGTACAGGCATTGGAAGTGATCTATCAGGAATCACTGGAGTCAGGGAGGATCCCAAAGGATTGGAAACTGACTAATGGAACACCCTGTTTAAGAAGGGAGGAAGGCGGAAGACAGGAAACTATAGGCTTGTTAGCATTATTGCAGTCATTGGTAAGATTTTAAAGTCAATTATTAAGGATGAGATTGCAGTGTACTTGGAAGTGAGTGGTAAAATAGGGCATTGTCAGCATAACATCAGTTTATATGCAGAAAAAGGGAGGGGGATGGGGTAGGGAAAAACAGGAGGATAGAGCCTAAAGAGAGAGGAGAGCAGTTGGACAGCCAAAGAGTTGATAACGATCAGGCTGGGAGGGTGAATTGTTGTTAATGGGGACTATTAGTGACTAGCAACAGGGGGTGTGTAATGGCAGGCTATGTGGTAACAAGGCCTGGTGCGTGGGTTAGGGGGCTGGGACATGGCAGAATTTAGGCCCTAAAATTATTGAACTCAGTACTGAGCCTGGAGGGCTGCAGGGTCCCCAAGCGGAAAATGAGGTGTTCTTCCAGCTTGCATTGAGCTTCGCTGGAACACTGCAGCAAGCCAAAGATAGAGATGTTAACCAGGGAGCAGGGTGGTGCATTAAAGTGGCAGGCAATGGGTAGTTCAGGGTCTTTTTTTTCAAGCAGAACATAGATGTTCTGCAAAGCGATCACCCAATCTATGCTTCATTCCCTCAATGTAGAGGAGACCACATTGTGAGCAGCGAATGCAGTAGACTAGATTCTGGGAAGTGCAGGTGAAGTGTTGCTTAACCTGGAAGGTATGTTTGGGCCCTTGGATACTGGGGAGGGAGGAGGTAAATGGGCAGGTGTTGCACCTTCGCCGGTTACAGAGGAAGGTGCCATGGGCTGTGGGGATGTGTTGGGGGTGAAGGAGGTGTGGACCAGGGTATCCCGGAGGGAACAGTCCCTGCGGAAGGTGGACAAGGATAAATGGACGGCTGGAAAACCTTCCTTGCTGTCCACTACATCTCCAATTTTGGAGTCACCTGCAAACTTACTAACCATTTCTCTTATGTTCACGCCCAAATCATTTCTATAAATGACGAAAAACAGTGGACCCAGCACCGGTCCTTGTGGCAAACCACTGAAAAGTAACCCTCCACCACTACCCTCTGCCTCCTACCTTCAAGCCAGTTCTGTATCCAAATAGCTGGTTCTTCCTATATTCCATGTGATCTATCCTTGCTAACCTGTTTACCATGAGGAACCTTGTCGAACGCCTTATTGAAGTCTATATAGATCATGTCCATTGCTCTGCCTGCATCAATCTTCTTTGTTACTTCTTCAAGAAACTCAACCAAGTTCATGAGACACGATTTCCCACACACAAAGCGATTTTTACTATCACTAAATCAGTCCTTGCCTTTCCAAATACATGTAAATCCTGTCTATCAGGATTCCCTCCAACAACTTACCCACCACCAATGTCAGGCTCACTGGTCTACAGTTCCCTGGCTTTTCCTTACCACCTTTCTTAAATAGTGGCACCACATTAGCCAACCTCCAGAGTTCCAGCACCTTGCCTGTCACTATCGATGTTACAAATATCTCAGCAAGGGGCCCAGCAATCACTTCCCTAGCTTCCCACACAGTTCAAGGGTACACCTGATCAGGTCCTGGGGATTTATCCACCTTTATGCATTTTAAAGATATCCAGCACCTCCTCTGTAATATGGACATGTTTGAAAAGGTCACTACTTATTTCCCCACATTCTCCATTTTCCATATCCTTCTCCACAGTAAACACTGATGCAAAATACTTGTTTAGTATCTGGCCCATCTCCTGCTGTTTCAAACATAGGCGACCTTGCTGATTTTTAAGGGGCCCTATTCTCTCCCTAGTTACACTTTTGTCTTTAATGTATTTGTAGAATCCCTTTGGATTCTCCTTAACCCTGTTTGCCAAAGCTATCTCATGTCCCCTTTTTGTCTTCCTGATTTCCCTGTCAAGTATACTCCTGTTGCCTTTATACTCTTCTAGGGAATCACTCGATCTCTGCTGCCTATACCTAACATATGCTTTCTTCTTATTCTGAACCAAAACCTCAATTTCTCTAGTCATCCAGCATTCCCTACACCTACGAGCCTTGCCCTTCATCTTAACAGGAACATACTGTCTCTAAACTCTCTATCTCATTTTTGAAGGCTTCCCATTTTCCAGCTATCCATTTACCAGCAAACATCCGCCCCCAATCAACAAACTTGGCCTTCCTCAAATTTAAAACTTTAACTTTTAGATCGGTCTATCCTTTTCCATCACTGTTTCAAAACTAATAGGATTTTGGTCGCTGGCCCCAAAGTGCCCCCCCACCGCTGACACCTCAATCATCTGCCCTGCCTTATTTCCCAAGAGTAGGTCAAGTTTTGCATCTTCTCTAGTAGGTACATTCACATATTGAATCAGAAAATTTTCTTGTACACACTTAAATTCCTCTCTATCCAAGCTGTTAACACTATGGCAGTCCCAGTCTATGTTTGGAAAGTTAAAATCCCCTACGATAACCACTCTTCCATTCTTACAGATAACTGAGATCTCCTTACAAATTTGTTTCTCAATTTCCCGCTGACTACTGGGGGGTTTATAGTACAATCCCAATAAGGTGATCATTCCCTTTCTTACTTCTCAGTTCTATCCAAATAACTTCCCTGGACAGATTCCCAGGAGTATCTTCCCTAAATACAGCCATAATGTATTCCCTAATCAAAAATGCCACTCCCCCGCTGTCACTGCCACCCACCCCCACTGCCCCTTTTGATCCTTCCTATAGCACGTATACCCTGGCACATTAAGTTGCCAGTCCTGACCATTCCTGAGCTACATCCCAGTCCCGTGTTCCTAATCATGCCCCAAGTTCCTCTGCCTTACCTGCTACGCTTCTTGCATTGAAATAAATGCAGTTTAATTTATCAGTTCTACGTTGATCTCTTCTTTGTTCCTGCTGGTCCTGTCTATTTGACTTACTCCTTTTCCCAAATGCACCAGTCTCAGACTGATCTCTTTCCTTACTATTTCCCTGGGTGTGCATGTTACTGCTGGAACAGACAGCACTGGAGGTTTCTTTCTCCGTTTGAATCGCTGCTGATATGGTCATTGGCTTTAGTCTGGTGATGGTGCCACACAACACAATGGAGAGCATCCTGAATGTGAAGATGGGACTGCCTGGTGGCTGTTCTGACAGATACTGTCAAGACAACTTGATGGTAAGGATGAGGTAAAGTATGTTTTTCCTTCTTGTTGGTTCCCTCACCACCTGCAACAGACCCAGTCTGGCAGCTATGTCCTTTTAGACTCGACCAGTTTGATTACAGGAGATGTTGCCAAGCAATGCTTGATGATGGACATTGAAATTTCCCACCTAGTGTATATTCTGCACTCTTGTCAGTGCTTCCTCTAAGCGAAGTTCAAAATGGAGGAGCATAGAGTCATCACCCGAGATTTGGGGTGGGGGGGTGGGGGGAGAAGGGTGATGAAGAGCAGCTTTCTTTGTCCATGTTTGGCCTGTTGAAATAAAATGATGCACATAGCAACTCCCTGTGTTGCTATCTCTGCTGGGTTTGTCTTTTTGGTGGAACAGAACATACAAGACCCGAGTCAGGAGTGTAATGGAATACTCCCCACTTGCCTGGGTAGGTACAGCTCCAACAACACTCAAGAAGCTTGACACCATCCAGGACAAAGAGGTTTACAAGAAAGATCCTGGGGATGAAGAACTTGTCATACGAGAAGTGGTTGAGGACTCTAGGTCTAATCAGTTAAAGACAGTAAGAACTGCCGATGCTGGAGTCAGAAATAACACCGTGTGGAGCTGGAGGAACACAGCAGGCCAGGCGGCATCAGAGGAGCAAGAAAGCTGACGTTTCGGGTCGGGACCCTTCTTCAGAAATGGGGGTGGGGAAAGGGAGTACTGAAATAAATAGAGAGGAGGGGTGGAGCTGGGAAGGCAGGTGGGATGGTGATAGGGGAGTGCAGGTAGGCAGTGGTGGGGATTGGTCAGTGAGGTGGGAGGGGCAGACAGGTGGGAGAGAAGATGGATAGGTCAAGGAGGTGGGGGTGAGAGGGGCTGGGGAAGGTAGGTGGATGGCGATAGGGGAGTGCAGGTAGGCAGTGGCGGGGATTGGTCAGTGAGGTGGGAGGAGCGGAGAGGTGGGAGAGAAGACGGACAGGTCAAGGGGGCAGGGATGAGAAGGAGGGTTGGTCATGGGACGAGGCCAGGGGTGAGGAGATTTAGAAACTAGTAAAGTCTACATTGAGACCATTGGGTTGTAGGCTCCCAAGGCGGAATATGAGATGCTGCTCCTCCATTTTCCAGTTGGCATCGTTGTGACACTGGAGGTGGCCCAGGATGGACATGTCGCCCAGGGAGTGGGACGGGGAGTTGAAGCGGTTCGCGACTGGAAGGTGTCGTCGTTTGTTGCGAACCGAGCGCAGGTGCTCTACAAAGCGGTCTCTGAGACATTGAATGTATTTAAGACAGAGGTTTCTGATTGGTAACAGAATCAAGGGTTACATGGAAAAGGCTGGAGAACGTGAAATATATCAGCCATAATCGAATAGTGATGGGCTGAATGGCCTAATTCTGGTTTTATATCTTACGGTCTTTAGGTAAGGAAAGTGGTGAGGATGACTTGAAGATGCTGCAGAAGGATATAGACAAGTTAGGGGAGTGGGAAAACGTGACAGATAGAATGTAATGTGGGGAAAATATGAATTAATACACTTTGGCAGGAAGAATAGAGGAGCCAAATATTATTTAAATGAAGACAGACAGTAGAAAGTTGCAGCACAGGGGTTTGGGAGTCCTCATGCATGAATCACAAAAAACTAGCATGCAAATATCTAATACAGAAGGATTGCTGGCATTTACTTCAAAGGGGATGCAGTATAAAAAGATCAGGAAGTCTTTTTAAAATGTAACAAGGTACTAGAATACTGTGAACAGTTTTGAGCTCCGTATCCGAAGAAAGATATACAGGCATTGAAAGCAGTCCAGAGAAAGTTCGCTAACTCATTGTGGGTGTGAAGGGACTGTTGTGACTAGATTCTCTGTTTTCTCTCCAGAGATGTTGCCAGACCTGCTGAGATCTCCAGCAATTTATGTTTATGTTTATGTTTCAGATCTTCAGCTTTGCAGTTCTTTGTTTTATTTTAGTCAATTAGTGTCTATGTTTTGATTTAATCATCAAAATGGCCAAGCTCTTTCCTTTATTATAGTTATCCAGAATAAAAGAGAATTTCACAGGATTTCCGCAAACTCAAAAGTAACTTTTTGTTATGAACAAAATTTATTTTTTAAAACTGGTTCATAATTGTAATCTAGAATTAAACGATACCCTTCCAATCCCAAACAAACATTCATATGACGTACGACTATACAGTTCTGCAGAGACACACAACATGATTTTTAAGAAAAACAGAAGGGAAAAAAACATCCTTGTGGGCTGAGGATCCCAAAGAATAAAACTGGACAATTTATCATGGTTCCCTTCGTTTTGTATTGACAAGTCCAAAATGCTGACCACAATAGTGATGGAGAATATTCAACTCAATCGGAAAGTTCGTTAGATTTGGGTTTTTGAATGGAAATAGCAGCTCAACTTTTAGTGTTTGAGGTAGAATGAGATACTGATATTTGGGTGCATTCTCATGGTCCTTAAACTTGTATTCCCAACAGTGCATAATCATTATAAAAACTGAAAGGACTGTGGATGCTGTAAATCAGACAAAAAAACAGAAATTGTTGGAATGGCTCAGCAGATCTGGCAACACCTGTGGAGAGAAATCAGAGTTAACGTTCTGGGATGAGTGACCCTTCCTCAGAATACAATCTTTCACCAGATCACCCAATATGTGTGGGAAGTCCAATTCAGTAGATAGAGAGGAAAATGATTTGTTGCGTAAGTGTGGTTCTGAAACAAAGAACAAAACTTGATTCAGAGAGAGATTCTGACAATGATGCCGAAGTGAGCCAAAATGAATTAGATGAACTCCGTGGCAGATGCAGAACATATGAAGTTGTCTATTTTTAAAATGATATGATTATGATTCAAACTAACCTTGTGGAAATGTTTAATTTAAAAGGTGACACATTGATTTAATTAGAATTACCGATGTCATTCTTTTATTTCACTCTTCAAAACATTGATCACCTACACCAGCACAGATGGCTCACATTTTATAATTGGCCTACAAGGTCAACTCCATTTTTGGAAGGACTTTATAAGGCTTCAAATATTGACTTAAAAATGCCACAATCAATGTTGTGTATGAATAATATGTTTTGAATGTACATTTGGAAAGGATTTTTGGGGAGATTAGCAGAGAAAAGGAGTGGAAAAAAAAGGAGCCAGTGTTGTCCTTAACACAGCACAGTTTCTACTGAATTCCATGACTGGGAAGCAGAAAAAAATGTCGGTAATGAAGAGCAGCTAGTGACCCTTTTCCTACACTGGCTCTAATCCTTGTCACTGTCCAAATGTCTTGTGCAACTTGACTTGAATGTTGTGTCATATTACAGTAATCAACAAATTT